CGTTTTTTTTAAAATGCTCCAAAAGTATAAATATATTGCAGCGTTTTGTGAACAACTGCCACTATATCTTACACCTATTGCGGTGTTTGTAAAAAAGCCGCAAAAGTAAAATTCATTAGCGGCGTTTTTATACAAACCCCACTATAGATTAACTATATTACGACGCTTTTAGATATAAACGCCGCAAAAAGTCAGTATATAGCGGCGTTTTTGGATACAAACGCCGCTAAATACCTTTATATAAATAAATATTGATTTCTTCTCTACATTAACTAAAATTAATACCATATTTTTTTGTAATTAACAACAACCATACATTTAATTAAGACATAACTGATGCATAAAACTACTTAACAATAAAATACATTATAATTTATAAACATTAATTAAAGTTATGCATAAACATTCTTCACACGCTTGGACCTATTACGACGTTTGTACATTAAAGTTATGCATAAACAGTCTTCACCATAAAATTAATACTTAACAACAAAATACATTAAAATTTAGAAACATTAAAGTTATGCATATAAAGTCTTCACCATATTGTTCACTTGAATTTATTCTTCACTGCTCCTTCGTGGGGAAAGGACGTAAGAAAGTTGTTTTCCTTGTTTGACGACGCATCATTGCGTTTTTCCGCTGTGTAAACTCTATATGGAGAAACTCTTCATCCATTTCACCAAATAAATCCCGTACATCCGGTTCACCAAGAAGAGTCCTTGCGCGCTACAATGCTTCACTTGAAACAGATAACAACCTTCCACCTACAGTATGAAACTTGATTGGAGGTGTCTTTGGAACTGAATCAAACATTAAAAAAAATTAAATAGAAGATAGAAAAGTTTACTTGGAGTATCAATAGAGGCAACATTGTCTTCATTGAGGATAGATATTGCTTTTGCAATTGAAGATTCTTTCAACGCCACAGATTTAGCAATTTCGGTTCTAAACATCAGGTCTTTATCCACTTCTCTATCATCGTTCTCAATAAACTTTGAACATCCTACATGCGTGCGATCTATGAAATTTGGGAGTACAAAATAAAACAATCGGTGGCATAAACTTTCAGCGTTTAATTATTACCTTCAATTAGGAGATCGGCCATGGAAGGGTATTTTGCAATATGAGGGCCTTTCGGGTCATCATCAACTTTCGACGGCAAGTCTGGACTGATAGCCTCCCAACGATAATTCGATCCATCGTCAGAGCAAAGACTCCACATGGACATTCTAACGATAATTTGTCTTACTGAATGAAACACCTGCTATTTGTACCACAACCATTTGTTCACGTTTTGAAAAGCTATTATTATCATATTGCAAAGATATTATTTTTGTATTCGAAAGCAGAAAAACACAGCTCCGAAGCAGTAAACCAGTAAAACAGTATGTATAGATATTCTTTTCCTATTCGAAAGATAATATTTTTCTCCATTACACCAGCTTTCTGGGTTTTCCCCATTTTCAGAATACCAACAAAAAAAATGAAAAAAATTTGTACTTAGAGAAGGGATCAAACCGTGCAATCGTGAGATAACTGTTTGTCGAGGACCGATTTGGTCGCCGAGACAAACAGAAGATGACGTCGCTTGGAATCGTGTGAGTGTTGTTGTTGTACCAGAGAAATCCCTTTTAGGGAAGTAGCGTTGAAATGAATTTAAGGATCGGGCAGGCAAAAAGGGTAGAGCATATATTGACCCTTTGACGACGTTTTTTAAACAACGCCACTGTAGTACACGTTTTTGCGGCGTTTTTTTTAAAAACGCCACTATAAACAAACATATGGCGGCGTTTGTTCTACAAACGTCGCTAAATTATTAATCTATTGTGGCATTTTTTGTAAAAAAACGTCGCTATAAACAAACCTATTGCGGCGTTTGTTTAATAAGCGCTGCTAAATTAATTATCTATAGCGTCGTTTGTTGGACAAACGCCACTATAAACAACCCTGTTGCGGCATTTTTATACAAATGCTGCTAAATTACTACTCTATTGCGGCGTTTATTGAAAAAACGCCACTGTAAACAAATCTATTCCGGCGTTTTAGCTATAAACGCCGCTAAATTACCACTCTATTGTGGCATTTTTTGTAAAAACGCCGGTAAAGTATAATTTCGTGGCGTTTGGATAGTAAACGCCGCTAGATGCTTAAATTTTATGGCGTTTACCCTAAAAATGCCGCTATAGAACATTTTTGTTGTAGTGTCTATAGTTATATTTAAAAGATAGATGTGTTTTTTGTGATTAAAAAATATTATAAATAAATTTTATAATGACCCATATCACTTTAAAAAAAGACTGGAAATATCGAAATTAACAAAATATAATTAATCTTCATGTACCAAGTCAAATTGCATAGATATAATTGTTGTTGTAAGAAAAATGATGATTAGAGAGGAAAAGAGGAGAAGGAATGCGTAATGTTCCCCTGAATAACCACAATTTATACCTGAAAGACTGACAGAGATGATTAATATTTGCTTTAAGAAATCGATAAAATAAATTACACGCAGCCCTCTTTTTCACTGCCCAAATCTCTCTACATTGGTAAACTGATCGCAAATTTTAATCATTATTATTTGTCAAAATAATGGAGGAGAATTTGCTTTGCAGCTGCATTTACTTTGTCTTCGTAGAACAAAAAACCATCAAAAGAAGTTACAAATTCTAACCAATGAAGACAATCTCAACAATCCGGTCAAGGCCCATGAAACATCAAAACTAGATTTCGACTCGAACTAAAAACTCGGTTTTTTTTTCTTTTGAATTCAAACAGTAGGTCAAAGTACACATATAAGGAAATGCTTTATTTGATATTGATAATAAGATATATGCTAATCTGTAGTGTGTACTAGTTATTTAGAGACTTAGTTCTTGGCGAGGTAAAAGAATGTTGATTATTATGACCGTGTGTTTCAATGGGGGCAGAGGGATGACTATTATAATTATATTATGACGATACTTGATGAGGAGGTGAGATCTATGTATCCATAGACTGCTAACAGACCATCGCGCTAAACTTAATAAAATGTGTCTAAATTTGTTGCATGATTATGTAATTTTTTGTACAAGAAATAATAAGAAATCCTATGTTATGATCTAATGAATGATACGTCAAATTTTGGTATGGTTTGATTTAGTTATGATATATTTCGTTTACGTCTCAACTATCTTTTACTAAGCTTCCCGCAGCTCTGTCCATATGTTTAACTATTCGTGCATGTGTTTAATCGTGATTGAATATTTTAGATTACACACTACAGCAAAGCGGGTTTTTAGCAGCATTTTTAGCTTTATAGAGAGACGCTTTTAAGCGTTGCTAAAAGTTTTCCATAGCCAAGTAAAAGCGCCGCAAGAGATGCCGCAACAGTTAGCGGCATTTGTGAATAGAGAACGCCGCAAAAGGTCAAGCTCTATAACGGCATTTTCCTAAAAACACCATTGTATATCAATCTATTGCGGCGCATTACCATAAACATCAAGAGATGTACAATATTAACGGCGTTTACTCAAAAAACGCTGCTAAAAGCATTGCTACAAACCTGTTTTGATGTAGTGACCCTATAAAAATCACAAGTCAATTGTTGACTTCTATCAATATAACTTTTTTTATTTTCTAACTCATAGAATGAGGCATCTAAATTTTGCTTATATATATATATATATGTTTAAGTTTATGATAAGATGGTATGTTTATATATAGTATTAGAATTGTGCATGTGTCGAAACTTCACTCTCAGTTACGATACTCACAGGGTCAACTTCGAAACTTCTCTACAAGTTCCAAAACTCACAAACCCAAATTCATAAGTTTTCGTTTTTTAGAACATTATTTTAATGATTCATGATGTCATGAAACTGTCTATTTGACATAATTTGCATTTGAGTCCTTAATTTAATATTTGATGATTGTTTAAATGTTCGTTTGTCTAAATTAATTTCGATTAGATTCTGATTAAGTTTCGATAAGTCGATATGACATCTTTGATATGATTTTCGTCTAAATTGGGTTAAGAATGATACAATGACTATGTTGTGAAATGTTAAGGTTTACTTTTGATATTTTGCCTAGCTAATAAAAAAGATGTTCCTTTATGGTTTATTTATTATCCATGAACATATTTTTAATTGTTTGTGACTATTTAATCTTAATTCGTGAACGTGTTTATTTAATAATTTTGAATATGTTCGCTCGTTTACCATGTTCGCTAATATTGCATGAACATATTCGTTGATAATAAACTAACAAAAGTGAACATACGTAATTATAGGTAAACGAATAATATTTTCAATAAACTCAATAATAAACAAATAAAAATAAACAATATAAAATTATTCAAATTTAGTTTATTAATAATGGATAGCCCTATAGGAATTGGCCAGCCATCAAAGCAACTTTAGTATTGGAGAAATGTAGCCGAAACTAGACCATTTCTTGTCCTTCAAAACTAAATAAAGAAAAGTTTCATGCAAGGACTCCATATAAAGATTATTTTTATCAAAGTGTTAGTTCAAATGATAAATATTTTAATATCATTTAAATAAAATTTTAAATTCGAATTTTTATATATGTTCGAAAATTCCAACCATCAAAATTATGACGTCGGTCCAAATTAATAAGACGAAGATTTGTACCAATTAGTGTATCTAAAAGTAAATCATAGCCATCCAATTGATAGATGGGAGGGATTTGTCTTTAGTATAATCGCACGTATAAAGCAAGTTTTGGGGATTTAAGGTAATTTCATTCGAACAAAAAATTAGAAAAAGACGAGGTAGCGGGTTTCAAGGGAAAAGGGATTGAGTGACGACACGTGGCGAACTATTAACCGTTAGATAGGAATGAGAAGGTGGGACTGGGCAGTGCTCGATCATTGGATTTGGAGATGACATGACATCTGCGTCTGTGAAAACCCAGTAAACTGTTTATAGAAAACAAAAGCGAAGCCACAGTTCTCTCTTGTTTACATTTTACAATTAAAAAAAAAAAAGAACCATCGACTGTTGCCCTTTCTTTTTCTGGGTTTTTGTTCGTTCATCAGAAAAAACCTGCAAGAAATCAGAGAAAGGAGAGAGATGCGTTTAAGGGAAAGGAATTAAATTTGGGGTTTTCACAGCAGAAGAAAGAGAAGGCGGCGTTGGCAGAAAAGAGCCGTAAATTCTCGTGTTGTTGTTTGGTTTATGAAATGCACCCGCCCTTTGCAACACCGAGAAAAAACAATTGAATTTAAAGCGAAAGGGGCAGAAGATAGCACGAGGGGGGACAGCCTGCTCCTGCCAAATCCAAAAACCAACGAAGTTGTTAAAGAGACGAGAGATTTTATTTAAACTAATACCCCACCATAAACAATACACGTAACACCATAGGAGGAGAAATTGGGAAATTACAAGCTTCTTGGGAGATTTTATGATATGGATTGTCTCTCACTGATGAGCTCCGGAAGAGGTTTACAGGAGGAAATATGGCGGGCTTCTTTTCACTAGGAGGAAACAACACCCAACAAGGCAATATGCCCAACGAAATACAACTCGAGAGCTGCTTTGGGTACAGAAATGAAGATGTTCCTTACAAGGGTTTCGAGCTATGGCAACAACAACAGCAGCAGCAGCAGCAGCAGGAACAAGATCTTTATGTGTCGGCAGCTGGGTTAGGGATTGGTCCTAGTAGGAGTTTGATTAACTTTTCTGATGATTCTTCGACGAGATCGGGTTTCGTGATGATGGCAAGTGGTGGTGGTGGTGATGGTGGAGGAGGAGGAGGAGGGGGTATAAATTGCCAAGATTGTGGCAATCAAGCTAAAAAGGATTGCCCTCACATGCGGTGTCGAACTTGTTGTAAAAGCCGAGGTTTTGATTGCCAGACTCATGTGAAAAGTACTTGGGTTCCTGCTTCTAAGCGCCGTGAAAGGCAACAACAACTTGCTGCTTTGCAGCAACAGCAACAACAACTTCAGCTTCGGACAGAGAATCCCAAAAGACATCGAGAGAGTCGGTCCTCTTCTTCACTTGCCTACACTCGTTTACCCACTAACGCGTCAGGTACAGTTTTTCCTTTTTCTCCCTTCTATTGACTCATTAAGAAGATTTCGAGGATTTTCTTTTCTTTTTTTCATCTTTTCCTTTTACAAACACTGTTTTTTAGTAATCCTGCCGAGTTTTTGACGGTGAAGAAACTATTTTCCCTCCTCTTTCTAATAATATATTTGCTCTCTTTTTCAGTTTTTCCTTCTTGATATTTGTGTACATGATAACCCCTTTGTTTCCACATATAATCATGGTAACCATCAAAAAATGGAAAACCCAATTTGTATGTACTTGCGTACTTAATATCTGCTTAAGTCTTGATTTTGTTGCTCTCTTTTTAGGGTTAGAACTGGGAAATTTTCCAGCAGAAGTGAGCTCTGATGCTGTGTTTCGGTGCGTGAGAGTGAGTAGCATTGAAGATGCCGACGATCAGTATGCTTATCAGACGGCTGTGAACATTGGAGGTCATGTTTTCAAGGGAATTCTTTACAATCAAGGCCCTGAGAGTGGCTACGACATGGTTACACCATCAGCAGCAGCAGCTGGTGAGAGTTCTTCAGGTGCTGGTGTGGTTCAACCGCTGAATCTCATCACCGCCGCGGGTACCAACACGGATAACATTGTAGCTTCCACCGGCAGCGGTGCTTCTCCTTCATTGACGACCGCTTTTTTAGACCCTTCCTCTCTATATGCAACTCCACTCAACTCTTTCATGGCTGGTACGCAGTTTTTCTCAAATCCAAGATCTTAAAAAAAGAGGGGGGAAAAGTCCTTTTCTCTTTCTTCCACGTCTCTTCTTCTTGTTCTCTAATCTTGTCACCTTTCATGACATTTATAATTAAGTACTACAAAAATTCTACATCCACCATTTGAGCTAGAGAGTTGTTTAATGGGTTTTAAAGGAAACACCGAAAGAAGGAAATGCGGGAGATTTTTGTTCTTTTTTTGTAGTACAAATTCGACCGCTTTTGGCTCAAATCATCAATATAAATTCATCTTCTTTCGTCTTCCTTCTGCTACACTATATTCTCCAACTTGAATGAAAATCTCAAAGCTGTTTGTGCACGACATTGTAGCGTAGCGAGAGAGTGTTTATTATTTTTGGTTAAATTTACGGATTCCCATAGAACTTTTTGGTTGGTTTCGAAGAGTGGAAGCTGCTTTTTCCCTGTTTACACGAATGTTTGCCGGTTTTCAAGGGAACGAATATTGGCTTCTTCTTCGGGTGGAACAAGTTTTTAGTTCTCAAGGCATGGACGGTCCAGCCATCAGCCATGCATGAATGAGTGAGAGCAATGAGCATGGCATTCAAATTACAAAGGTGAAAACATAAAATTCCCAATCTCTATTTTCCCTATCTATTTTCATGTGATCGTCATTATCTTCATCGTCATCGATGTAGTTGTTGATGTTCTTCATTAGATTCAACATACATAAGCGTGAATGTGGCCTGCTTTTGTTGATGAAATGGGAAATATTTATTGCCTTCCTGCAAACCAACCTGTTTATATATTATTGCAGACATGCTGTTTACTTTCTTGTTCATCGCCATGTAAGAGGATTGTTGGGACTTTTCCTAACTCTACATAAAACTTTTGCTTCGGTTTTCAATGTCCTACTCACTTCCCAATAAGTGACTATATGCATTGGTTAAACGGATCCATAATAGTACTTGTTTTTGGGATTTGGAAAGGGTTTATTGTTCTTACGCGCTTTGTATAGGACAGGTTTATATAGCATGTTTAATTAATGGCAGCACATAATGCCAGCTGCTATATACTCACACTCTTTCTTTGTTTCATTCCTAATTGCTGAAGTTAATTCATTCCAATTAATATTGTTCTAAATCCATTAGCCAGAAGTCTCTATACATTTACTATTAGTTTAACCCATGTTATTCACACTTGGAGTAAGTGTTGGATATAAGTATATATCTATCACGGATGGTTTTATTATTTTAAATAACATTTTCATATATTTGGAGAATCATAATATTCAATCCTGTAGGAAATGATCAAGTGCGGCAGTTTTAATATGGCTAAAAAAAGTATTATTGGTTTTGTTATTATTTAAATAATAAAATAGGTAAAAAATTGCCGGTATTATTATTTTTACCGGTTTTGTTATTTTTTCTATCGATTTTGTTATAGTTGAAAATTTTACCGAAAATGTTAAAAAACATTGATGTTTAAGATAGAAATAATAATATTTTAAATAATTTTTTATCAATTTTATTATTTAAATAATAATAAAATAGATAATATTTTTTATAATTGTACATTAGGGTGTTATACAGTAGAACTTTCCCAATCTCGTATCCGGAATTGATTGTTTTGTTAGAACCCGTGTCCGGATTTGATTGTTATGCTGTTAGAAATTGGTATTTTATGGAAAATGGAGAGTTCGAGTTGAGTGATTTAAGTTGATTGAGATTGATTGTATGAAGCAGAAGCTGTTACTCTTTGTTTTCTTTTTCCCTTCTTTTATGGTTATTGCTTTCTCATGGCACCAATTATCGCGTCAGAAGTGGAAACCTCTGGATCACACAATTTTGTAAAAATAGAAAAATTTCAGAACTGACATATACATATATATATATATATATATATATATATATATATTTGCGCGCTTGCTTTTCACCTCAAAGAAATCTGGTGCTATGAGACTGATAAACAAAACTGCCATTGGATTAAAATTTGGGTCTTATAACAATGACTAGGGCGTTCAACAAATCATCTTCAATGCTATATGAATCAAATATGAGTGAACATGACCATATTTTGAAGCTGCTTGAAACCATTAACTGTAAAATTAAAAGCAAAGGATTGGGCTATTTGTTTTATATTCATCTTGCAGGTACATTAAGTGCTTATTGTTAAATAGATCTTGACGTCTCTTCCTAGGATGTATGTTTCTTTTAATGAAATAAAGTTGTAGAAAAAGCCAGATTTTGGTCATTCCATATTTGTGTTTGATGATAGAGTTGTCCAAGGGTAGTGTTGAACCAAGCCGGATGGCTGAGTTTTGTTTATTGTTTCGGGTGTACACGCAAATTCTTCTGATCTGATATATGTAACTTACAAGAACATTTAATATTGGCAAGGTATTTTCTTTTTAGTGGCATGTGTTTTCGTCCCTCAGATAACTTGATTTTTGATATTCTTGGACATGTTAAGTGTATCAGGAAACATTTCAAATTCTAAACTGCACCGATGTATTTGTCTGCAGTCTCTCTGTGTATTCTTTTAATGTTTCAATGTGCTGTTTTGTTCCAAGAATGTTTGCATTTTGTATTGGCAATGCATGAATGCTCAACGGACTTCTTGCTTACGTGCAAATTAAGTAGCAGGAATTTGTCTGGATTGTATATATCCAAGGGAACAAGGTGGCTACAATATTAAAATAGATTTAAACATGTTTGCATTTAGGGTTGAAGGCGACACGTGGATTTCCTTGCTTAGATGGGGAAGTATCAACTACATATTGTTATCACCAGTTTAAATCTTGAAAATCTGGTATGATATATGATTCTTATTTCCTGCAACTGGCGGTAAAAACTAGAATATTCTCAGTGCTGATAGGTACTGGGAATTTCCCACACAATCGACCGCTATAAAACTAAATACTGGGTTGTGTTTCTTTCCTTGAAAAGACCTCACCACAAATGAGACTTGAAAAACAAATCATAAATATATGATATATCCCTTTACCAATGTGTTGGTGCAACTTTACCTGCATGTGTTTTTGGAGTACTTGGGAACCCCATGCTCCCTGGCTCTGAAAAACTCACTTTTTCTCGGATTCTCATGTTGAGAAGACGGAGGAATAATATTTATCTATGTTGTTGGATATAATATTGTTGACGAAAACGGGTAAAGAAAACAAAAGAACACGAGAATTTTACGAGGTTTGGCAATATGCTTATGTCTTCGGTGCCTAGGCGGCGCTAGAAGTTTTATTCAATGATATTTTAGGTCTAGGTTACATCTCTATTTATAATAGAAAACCCTGGTACATAATTACAAAATCAACCCTGTATCGTACCGCGGGGGCTGCACCCCCGCACCCACAACCCACATAATTCGTAACCCCACAACGAGACTTTCTTTGTAAGGACAGTTGATGTTCGCTTCGCTCACTCCGCTCCATCTCCTGTCCTCTTTACTGGTATATTTTGAGTCATACCTAACAAATCTCCACCTTGGCAAATATCCTGCCCCTTGGAAACTTCAATGTGGGTTGGGTTACCTTGCTTCTTTAACAACTCGAAACATTCAACAAGTCCAAGCAATGCTTGAACTTGTCTGTCATAACTGGCTTGGTGAACATATCAGCGGCATTCTCATCAGTATGTACCTTCTGAAACAAACCTCTTCAGATGCAACCAACTCTCTGATCTTGTGGAACCTTACATCAATATGTTTAGTTCTAGCACGATACACCTGATTCTTAGCCAAGTGAATAGCACTTTGATTATCACAAAACAACTGAACTCCACCTTGTTAAACACCCAACTCCTTCACTAAACCAGTAAGCCATAAAGCTTCAGCCGCTGCCATGTACTCAGCTTCAGTTGTAGATAGAGCCACAACAGATTGAACAGTAGACTTCCAACAAATAGGCCCTCCACCAAGAGTAAAGACATACCCTGTCGTAGATCTTCTATTATCCAAGTCACCTGCATAGTCTGAATCCACATATCCTACAACCAAAGGATTATCCCGTTGACTCCCAAAAATAATTCCATGTCCCACAGTACCCTTTAAGTACCGAAAGATCCACTTGACTGCTTCCCAATGTTGCTTACCAGGTTTAGACATGTACTTACAAACTTGACTAACAATATGAGCCAAATCAGGACGAGTACATATCATCGCATACATCAAGCAGCCAACAGCATTAGAATACAGAACCTTTGCCATATCTTCAGCTTCCTTATCTGTCTTAGGGCACTGTTCTGATGAGAGCTTAAAGTGATTCGCCAATGGAGTGCTAACTGGTTTCGCGCTGCTCATCGCAAACCTTTCTAGCATTTTCTCAACATAACCCCGTTGAGATAGCTGCAGTTTCCTTGAGTCTTTGTCCCTGCAAATTTTCATTCCAAGAATTTTCTTTGCAGCACCTAAATCTTTCATATCAAATTCCTGACTCAATAAAGTTTTCAAACCGATAACATCATCCATGTTCTTCGCAGCAATCAACATATCATCAACATACAGTAATAGAAAAATAAAAGAACCATCATCAAGGCTCTTAACATAGACACAACAATCATATTCACATCGGTTGTAGCCAATCTTGATCATATAGGAGTCAAACCGTTTATATCACTGTCTCGGAGACTGTTTCAACCCGTACAAAGATTTCTTCAATCTGCAAACTAAATGCTCGTTTCCAGGTTGAGTGAAACCTTCAGGTTGTCGCATGTAGATATGCTCCTCTAAATCACCATGCAAAAAAGCAGTTTTAACATCCATCTGCTCTAAATGCAAATCCCAACTAGCCACCAATGCAAGTACTGCTCGGATTAAAGTGTGCCTAACCACAGGAGAAAAGATTTCATCATAATCAATTCCTTTCTGCTGTGAAAAACCATTCGCTACCAAACGAGTCTTGAACTTCTCCCCCTCTTTTTCTGTTACTGCTGGTTTCTTCTTATACACCCATTTGCAACCAATCGGCTTCTTACCCTCAGGAAGGGGAACTAACTCTCATATGCGATTGTGATTCAAAGACTCCATCTCCTCAACCATGGCTGCCATC